AAAATTTTTTTTTTTTTTTTTTTTTTTTTTTTTAAATTGAAATAAATATTTTAAAAATTTAGTTAAGTCATAAAATTATATTTTCATAATAAATATATTCATAAATTGCTCTACATAATAAATTTTTCTCTTAATATATTTTTGAAAAAGAATGAATATATCAATGATTTTATTTTCCCATTATATTATGTGTGCATGATTAAATATTTAAAATCAAAATTACAAAGTATTTTACTTATATATATATATATTTAAAATTATGTAAAATATTTGTATTTAACTATAATTATTAAAAAGGAAACATAACAAGATGAAAAGATATATATTCTTAATTTTTAAATTAAAAGATATAAAATTCAAAAATAATACATACCATTATATTTTTAAAGAATTTACAAATTATAAAATATACATAGAATCAATATTTTTTTTTTTTATACCAAAAAAATAAAAAAAAAAAAAAAATATAATGAAAAGATTTTTATACATTTAAATTTATTAAGCTTAATTTTACACTAAAAAAATTGTATTTTTGTGTTTTTGTTTTAGATTAAATCTTATTGAGATATAATTTAATTTCAAATATGACTCTATATTGTCTTTTTTAATAAATGAAAAAAAAAAAAAAAAATAAAATAAGGAAATAAAAAAACAAACTGTTATGAAATTCAAACGAAAAAAATGAAGATTTGCTAATAAAATTAAAACAAAATATAAAAGAAAGATAATAAATATATATATGATGGTTGAAATTTTATTAAAACATATATTTTTTTTAAATGCTCATGTGTGCATTAGTATAAAATTTTATTCTTCTTTCTTAAAATTTCCTCTCTAAACAAAATATAAAAAAAAAAAAAAAAAGAGAAACTATTTTTATTTCAGAAAAAAAAAAGAAGAAAAATTCTATTATATGCAAATATAAAAATAAGAAAAATGAATGTACATGTATATATATATATTGTAACATCATTCTATTTTTACTTCGTTATATGAAATTTATCTTGTTTTTTTATGAACAATTTTTTTTACAAAATTCAATAAAAGTTACATAGTACAAATTATCTCCTCAAATAGAAAAAAAAAAAAATTAATTGTTTATGTAGGAATGTTTTATAAATTTTTTTTATAATTTATGAAAAACAACATTATTTTTGTTAACATTTTTTCTGTTTTTCTTGTAAATGATAAATATAATACAAATGTTCTAAAATTTTATAATAGACAGTATTCTTTTTCTATAATATTGAGCTCTTATTCTTGATTTTTTTTTTTTTTTTTTTTTTTTTTTTTTCTTAATAATGTACTATACAATTAATTTCATTATGTTTTACAATATTCAATATATAAACTTCACTTATATTTATAATATATAGAAAATTAAAACAAATAATTATTAATTTTTATTATTTTAATTATTTTATTTTTTTTTTTTTTTCACCTTTTTTTACATTATTTTAAATACTTTCTTTTTATTTTTTACACATATATATATATAAATATATATAATATAAAGACAAAACAATAATTATTTTCATTTAAAAAATATAATATATTTATTAACCATAAATATATATGTATGAATATTATATTCCTTTTTTTATATTTTATTTTTACAAAAACTTTATTTTTTTTTTTGCATTATATTTTTATAAAAAATATTAGAGCACATATATTTTTTTTTTAATATTATTTTACATTTTTTCATATTATGATATTGCTTATAGAATAATATTATTTCATTATGATTACAAAGAAAAGAAAAAAAAAAAAAAAAAAAAAAAA